AACTAATTTGTGATTAACTGGAATTAATTAAAGGTGTAAGGGGGTAAAGTGTAATTGTTCAATATAGTGTATATGTAGAATTGTACCTTCGATGTAATCAAAAACAGAATTTGACAAAGAGTTGGCAATACCAACGAGTTTTCAGAACGATAGTGACGTAGGCACCAGTTAATATCATACCTTAAAACCCCTCTCATAAACCCTAGTGTGGTCGTTTTTGCTTTCTCCTTGATGTAACACTGTTCTATCCAAATCTAGGGCTCTCTTGAAGATATCTGAAATCACCATCGTTCTCTCCAAATTGACCAACAATAAAGGAGCAATCGTTGTCAACGATCATGGTGGAAGAGAAGGTGGTAGAAATTGATAGACTCGCCTCCCTCAAGAGTTTATGAAGAAGGTATATGAGAGGGGTATCAATTTGGAGCATCATTGTCAATTTCCATCAAGATACAATAATGGAATAGGGTATATCGATTCAGACGGTGATAAATAGGTGGAAGAGAACGATTGGATGGTAAAAACGATCTGGGCAACACATATCTCTTGTTTAACCGGGGAGACTAACAGAGACCAAAGTTGAAATACCAAGGTAAACATTAAACATAAATCTAAACAAATAAAGAGACCAAAGTCGTCTCCCAGCCAATAAAGGGGCTAAAAATGTTAACCTGAAAAGGTTCATGTTCCTAACTTAGGTATATATATATATATATATATATATATATATATATATATATATATATATATATATAAGTTCAAATAAAAACAATAAATAGTGTGAGAACGTAAAAACACTATATTTATGTTATTATTCTGTAACGAATGTTGTATATGTGTATTGTTTGAAGTAATTCCATTATGAATATTAACGTTTGATTATTCATATATTCATTAGAATATTACTATTCTATCATAAATTTATATATGTGCATTTTTGTAGTAAATTGTAATTTTAGTTTTAACCCATGACTATTCATTTATTCATTGTTGAATAATCACATAAACTATGGATATATAATTCATTGCAGAATAATAACATTAAAAAGTGTTTTTACGTCCTCATAATATTTATTGTTTTTTAACTATCTCCACTATATATATATATATATATATATATATATATATATATATATATATATATATATATATATATATATATATATATATATGCATTGTTCATTAGAGTCACCACCTAACTATCAAGTCAAGACATAGACCATGCACTTGAAAATTTGAGTAATTGGGTAACCCGATATTTAAATAGGTCGAGTATTAGGTAGGTTTAACAAAATTTGGGTATACCCGAATACCCGATTTAGAAAAAAAAAAAACTAATTAATACATTAGTTATAATAACTATTAAAGTTGTATTATTATTTTACATAACTATTGTTCCTTATAGTTTAAACTAAATGTTATATAACTTTGTTATTTGAACAGTATATAATAAATATAAAAGAAATTGTTGAAAATGAAATGAAGTTTTGAACAGAATATTGCAACAAATTTAATGAAAATGAATAAGATGTTAGATTCCCCTTCATTTTCTTTGTGCACTACATATCTGTTTCGTTTTTTTTCAACTATGCACATGTTTCTTTTTTGTCATTTCTTCTTTGTGAATTGAAATATAACTATATAATTGCTCCCTTTAATTTAGATAACATGCTAAAAAATTTTATTTATAACTTTTATGTACTCACCTTTTGCATTTAATTATGTAACATGTTTGGTTAATCCAAATTTGATCAAACATTGATCATGTACTCCATAAACTGTTTTGTTTATCAAAATTTAAAATGGAATGCAAAAATCACATAACATATTATAATCACTTGTATTGTTATCGTATATGTACTTGTTAATTGTATAGAATATTTTGTTACCTAATTTTTTATTAAAGCAACCGAAATACAAAATAGATTTATAAAAAATCAATAAGTGACACTTAAGTAATTTTCAGGTATACCCGAAAATACCCAACTTGACCTAAAACCCGAATACCCAAAACCCAAGACCTGAATTACAATATAAGTCGAGTATCAGATATTATTTGAAGGAAATACCCAAACTAACCGACCCGTTCTACCCGAAACCCGTAAATTTTACCCGATCAACACCCTAATATTCGTGGTCATGAGACATATAATTATCACTATAAATAAGAACCATAATTCCAACAGTAGTGATTAAGATTAACATAATAGAAGTAAGCGGGTCGATCAAGTATCCGAATTCTAAAGAAAAATCATTATTGATAATCCAAAATCATACATATTGATAGACATAACCGCTATTTATTTGTTGAATAGACAGATTCATTGAAAAAATTATGACTATACTTAACAATAAAACACTCTGAAAAGACCACATACAACGAAGACTTTTTGTTGCTGTCGGAAATAAAAAGAAGTCTCAACCCTATGTTATAGGAACTGGAAGTGGAATTTTTATTTTTTCAAGATTTCAAGACGCCGCATAAGTTTGTTGCCAAACAAGCATTTCAAGATTTCAAGATGCCACATAATTTATCTTTTTCTATATGAATTTTTTTCTGTATGTGAAGGACTTGCAATATTAGTGTTCGACCAACCATTACTCCTTAGTCTCCCAACATCCTTTAATTAAACCTTAAATTTTCTTTTCTTATTTAATTTCTCTCATTTTTTTTATCAATACATGTAAAGAAAATTCAAATCTAAACGACAATATTTGATAATCATACTCATTTTTATTGAATAAAAATGTTATATAATACAAATATTATACTTTATGCTAATACCTTGTACAAGGAAGAAAATAAAAGAGATAGACAAAGAAGAGAGTGGTCATGTGTGGTTCTCACCACAACCACTTCCATTACTCTATGTAGGGTGGTGTTCATAATGTCCCCATCACTCCACCATCACAACTCTACTCGGTAAGTCTTATATTTTTCGCAAATTAATATTCAATATCATCGAATTTTTGCTGCCTTTATTTAGATCACATAATACTTGTGTTTTGCAGTTAATGCCAAATATATCTTATATTAACAACTACCGGATAGTTTTGGAAAATAAACTTCTTAAATAAATATGATATTTTGGATTCATATTTAATAATAATAATAATAATAATAATAATAATAATAATAATAATAATAAATAAATAATAATAATAATAAAAGTATTAGTTAAAATATATAAAATAGCTATTAGATGGGTTAAAAGGGTCCACATTTTTTTTTGAAAGGGTTCACTTTTGATAGTGTGTTCTTATTAAATTGGTGTGGTGATGATTGCAAAATGTGATATGACACACCAAAAAGACAAATCTTAAAAAGTATGATAAGACATTTGAAAGACAAATCTTATTTCCCTGATGTGATGACTTTAGTGTATTCACTGATGTGATTCTTAAAAAAATCTTGTGTGTAATTGTCAACATGTTACCAAATGTTGATGCTCAAAGCATCTAAAGTTTAGCAACACCTCAAAGTAATAATCAACTTAAAGGTCATGAGGGCTATTTAAATCATATTTCCATGTAGAAAAAAAAACCAGTACTATCTAAGAACATTGTGACCCTTATATAAAGATGAATAAAACAGATTAATTAACCATAACAGGTTTAATACTAAAATAGTTTTTTAAAAGCAGATTGACTTAGCAGTATCAAATGTTTACAAATATGTGTCTTTTATAAAGGATTGAGGGTGCAAACCAACAAAGGTGTAATTTACATGTATAAGATTTAGAAAATGTGTGTTAGCAGATCTAAAAAGAAAAACTAAAGTACTTCCTTTTAATTCTATTAACATAAATTTTCTTCTGCCTCTTGCTCAGACAACAGTTTTTGAAGCGCACTACTACTCGGCCTGCAGGGTATCCCCACCACACCTTTATAATAAAACCCAAACTCTTCAGCAGCTCGTTCCAGTAGTCTTACAACCAAAGCCCTTTCAAGATATGCCACATGAACAAAAAACCTCATCTTCTCATGCTCATAGACTACTATCACTGAAAAGTGCCCTTCTTTCACATCTTTAATCGTTCTAGCAAAACTCTTTTCTGTAACCTCTTCACCATCAAAGAAATCCCATTCTTTTTTTTTTTCGTATTACACTGTGAATATATGATATATCATATATGATCTCTTTTAGCCTCTAGTTAGGTTAACAGTACGACTACTTATACTCTTTTGAGTCACAATGTAAACAAGGCATGCATGCGTGTATACATCATATATGGCGCGTTTGTTTTTGTGTGTACATGTGCCCCCGAATGGAAAACGGGAATTACCACGAATTTGTGAAGTAGGATTCTTGCACATGGTGTGTTCCTAGTTTAGGTAAGTTTCATTCACCGGCCAATTAATCCCAAAAGGTTACAATTTTTCGTACCACTTGATTCGTAAGGTAGGAATTGTGGGATTAACAAGTATATATTATGTTCCTAAAAAAAGTTATTTAGCAACCCTTTGTTGGCCCACATCACCCTACCTTAGGTGAGATGAAAATCAATTAAGGCAATGTTAGTTGAGGGTTGTAGAATAACCCATTTTTAGGCACGACGATGAGGGCCAGCACCTATAAGAGCGTCTACAGAATCCAATTTACATTGAAATTGAGAACTCTCACATTATGTTTGTAGATACTTGAACCCTCAACCGTTTCTATATGTATACCACCCTCTGTGACCTTCGACTTGCAATAAAACCATGATGGTTACACCTATAAGAGCGTCCACAATACAAGTATGATAAGTGTTGGATGGGGTGATGATTATGTGAACAACAGTTGAATGGAGTGTGAGTGATGACATTAAGTAAAGTTGAATGCAGGAATTGAATGATCATTGAATGATCCAAAAGAAGAAATAAAATGATGATTAAGATTGAATAGAAGTTTAATTGTTATGGATGTTGTTGTAGAGGTGTTTAATAGATGATGTGGAAATCCATTGAACTCTATAGAATTCAATGGATTGTGGATGCCCTGACACTAGAAAATAGGTTTAGCAGAAATTTGCTTATCATGTATTGATATGAATGTTACATCGATCTTACAACCTTAAATGGTGACTAGAGTTGATCGTAAACTGGAATAGTCCACAATCCGTTGTTTATTCACACTTACAAGGTATTTAAACGAGTATACATATATGATTCTCCCTCATGGATCAATTTGCACAAGCTGTCCAATTTGATGGAACTCGATTTGAAGTCAAGGCGGGTATATTGCGGACATTAACATCAAGTGGGAGCATGCGGTACTCAATGTCGAGATCCTTGAAAATATTGATCATCTCCTCAACTAGAAGAGCTCTTCTTTTCCATCTTTCACCCATGTCTTGGAAGTTCATTCGGTGTGCAAGCCATATGGATATCTTGAGCCGATTCATGTCCTCAACATCCCTTAGCACGATCATCGGTGCAGGCTGCCAATGGTCGCTCTTCTTCTCGACATAGCTACAAACATAGTTTTACCTTAGCACTAACGCCACATTTGTTATGTAGGACAAGACTTGACATAACAGGTTATATTGCATCTGAGTTTGGTATAGAATCGACTCTTATCAAGACTGATGTCAATGGAACAAAAATTGCAATATATTTTCTCCCAACCAAAAAGGTGGAATAAGGCAAGTTTGAGACGACTCGCTATAGATCTGTCGTTTGTGCAAAAGAAAAGAAATTGAATGTCCTTCTCATCCACATCATCGAAAATAGTCTTAAAAAGTTTGTCGAGTCTAGAACATTAATGATTGATCTCAGAAGAAACTTTACTTACCATGTAATCCTTTCCTTCATTTTAGCTATCTTTTCGGCTTGAGTTGACACATGGATGCAGAAGTCGATTGCATCACCCATGTCCGGACTACGATGATAATTAGCAATCGGCATTGTACATAAGACGCTGTTGGGATATGTTATTTTTTGATTATCATACCTCAAGAAGATGGTTGTTAATATATTCATCTCTTCAACTACCATCTGCACTCAATAAGACCCTCAAAGATTACAATTTAAAACCCGGAATTATATACCAAATGCATGTTTTAAGGTTTTGAAATCTGACCTGAACACCATCAATTTCACAACGATCACCGACATCAAAAGGATGCACTATAAACAAGAAAATAATGGCCTCGAACAGCATCTTGCATGTGTTTCCAAACACAAAGGCGACCAAAACTAGCTGTGAACTTAGGAATATAAAGAATTGGGTGGTTGCAACTCTAAGTATAAGAAGCCAAATCACGAGTATTATGATTCCCACTGCCACATTCATCATCTGGTGGAGTTTGTCCACAGCTGTTTTTGTGTCATTGAGAGATAATGCAAGAACTCTACGCTCCCGGAATACATTAACCTGAGAAAACAGAGTTTTTGTATCAAATTATACTCGAATGAACTCTTAATTAATCGGATATACTGCAACATATATAAACATATCATTCATAACATATGTTAGTATGTAACTAACAAGAACAAAATGAAAGGAGTCACGAGAAGAACACACATACCACCCAACTTTTGAGAGCTCGTTTGCTAATTCCTTGTTCTTCATTTGCTTCATCAAACAGTCGGATTGTCTTCAAAGCTTCATCATCTGGCAAAAATCTCCCCAAATCCTCAAGATAAATGTGTCTGCATGTCAAAGCAAACAAATGAACAAAGCGAATTAATCTAATGTAAAGATTTCAAACAACAAAAACTCAAAAACTCACGTAGAGCCCGGCTTTGACACATTAAAAAAGATCTTCTTGGCTGCAACCTTAGCCTGGTTTTCACTAGTAATCTGCACAGCAGCTTCATCTTCATCATCACTTATATCTTCTAAATGTTCATCTAAAGTTGTTAACAAACTTGTGTTTATAACATTCATCATCCTGTTCATATTCCAAGCAGATATATTCCTCTGATTTAGCCTATGCAAGTGATCAATTGTAATCCCTTCATTTTTACCAGCCGTAGAATTACTAGATCTTGGAGTTCCAATAGCTCTCCAACCCTTAAAGACATCTTCCTTAAGCTTATCAACATCATCAATCCCCCAATCTTCCTCTTCCACTTCTTGTTCTTGCTGAATCTCAATCACAGGTGGGCCAGTGAGGGTTTCGATCAAGTATTGGTTAAATAAAGAATCTTGGATCCGATCAAAAAACTTGCTCACATGGAAAGATGAAGCAAGAACTTTGATCAACAAAGTTTTCAATAACCAAACAACTGTCCCCACCAAAAGACAAATCCAAATCTTGGTCACATAAGGCAAAACAGTCTTCCCATATGTCGTCCTTTCAACTTTCTTGTTGAATATGCATTGCCAAGCAATCAAAACCAGACATAACCAAATGCAATTTTGAACTGCTTTTTTTAACCCGTATACGAAATAAAGAACTTGTTTTCGCAATAAGAAGCTTCGTTCTATGAAGAACACTAAGATCCTAACCCCCCACCCTGAAACTAATTTCCCACAGATGACAACGAATATCATAATCTCCCATTTCCACCATTCAAGATCATATAAGCTTTTGTTTCTGAAACTTGGTATAGCGAGTGTACAAACTAAAACACCAATGATTAGTATCAAACTGGCTAATTGAAATAAAGTCCATTTGCTATACCTTAAGTTCTTGTACTCGTCTGGCAAATCATCGTCGTTGAAAGGGAAATCATCCTCTTCCATATCACCACCACCACCACGGCCACTACTACCACCACCACTACCACCTCTCCCTTGATTTCCTGATTTGGATGTCTTCATCTCCGGCTCATCCATCAACCTTGACTTTGTCCTCGTCCTCATCAAGGTCGAACTTCGTTTATATGCAGCATTTGAGGAGCAAATCAGTACCTCTTCCCCACCACCGCCACCACTAACATTTGACCGCCGCCGGTTTGGTGTTGGCATCACCTCGTCATTGAAGGAAATCCTTACCTCCTTCGGGGTGAGTTGGCCGTAGTTATTGGGACTTTCAGGGATCGACGATGTTGTACGGTGGGTCTTGGGATCATATCTATATCCATCACTTGTAAAATCTGACGATGTTTTACGGTGGGTCTTGGGATCATTTTTATATCCATCACTTGTAAAATCATAGCTGACATCCTTCCATACCTTGTTAGGATTTTCAAGGTCAACGGCGGAGTTGTATAGCTCTGGTTCTACCGCAGAAGTGTCAGTAGTTGCAGTACTGTAAGTTCCCTTCGCTGCATGTTTCCGGTGATCACCGGAATCCGTCATAGGAGTGGTGTATGACGAAAACTGATCAGTATATTTTCTGGGGATGTGTATATCTTCGGGTTCATTCTGCGGGTCGTTTAGTGAAGGTCCTGGGAATGATCTTTCCCGATTCTCCATTAAATGCGTTTGCAGAATAAGAAATTAATGGGCAAGACCAAGATCAGACGATGATTCTTTGGTAAAAGAAGCTGGAGATGAATCATGAATGCTCGAACCTTGGAGGCAATTTATAGTGTTCGTGAAGGATGAATACACGTAAGGGAGTGAGCAGTGGCTGCGTGTGAACAATGAACCAATGATAGAGCCAAAGAGGAAATGACGAGACAAACCGCCGGAGGTCACCACCGTCTTATTATGTAAAGGCAGTAGGTTTATTTTCAAATGAATGTTATTAAAGGCAGTATTTTTTTTTTCGTTCTTTTTTGTAATTTATTATTTTCAAAATTTTCAATTTATTTTACAAAGGTTTGTTTATATATTGGATTTATGGTTGTTGACATTTTTCAAATTCGACAATTTTTTTCAGTGTTTGTGAGTTAGTTTTATATTCTATCTAAAGATAGATCAAAATTATCAAACAAATTACTTTCAATATTTGATGTTTTTAATTTTCTTGTGAACTTTATTTTTGTTTAGAAAATAGTCTATAATTTAAAAGATTTACTAATTGCACAAAATAATTTCAATTTTGTTATTATTTATTTCTAATAAGAATTAAAAAAATAAAAAATAAGATTGCATTCAAACCTCATTCTACAATACAATTATGCATCTAACAATGATTCTTCAACTTGTTATATCCTCATGAGTTAGAAAGTACACAATCATAATTATATTAATTTGCATTAAATTATTGTAGATTTTTTAATACTTTATATCAGAATTAGGTTATAGATATTTTGCTTTACCGTTTTAGCCTTTACGTGTAGTTGTTATTGTAAGTATTATAACTTTAAGTCAACTTGTATATTTAAAAGTGAAATAAATATAATTCTTATAATTCGTCTTGAATTTTTTATTTATTTTTTTGTTTATGAGGCTATGGAGGTAAGGAAGTTTCTCTTCGTAATTCATCTCTAATGATGATGAAAAATAGATATAGCCAAGTTAAAGACATGATCGTATTTGTCTTCGGTGTCACTCACAACTTGGGTATATATATATATATATATATATATATATATATATATATATATATATATATATATATATATATATATATATATATATATATATATATATATATAGGAGGGTTCAATTGAGAAAAAAAAAAGATTGAGAATGGGGGAATCATTCTCAGACACTCATTTATTTTTGCGGCAAAAACCTCCGTCGTACCAGCAGAAATGGGAAAAAAATAGACATGTGTTTTCCAACAAAACATGTTTTCTTAAACTATGTTAATCATTACCTTAATATATACAAAAATATAGTTTTTTCGTTTTTTTTTTAATTTTTAAGAAGCTATTTTTATCGAAAAATGATTTTAAATATACCAAGATTCATGATTTTTTATTCTCTATAAATAGACATCCATATTCATATAGTTTTAAGATAAAATAATTTTTTTTTTATATTTTCAGTTATCGTTATTCATAAGTGAATAAAAATGAATCAAGTTTTTACTACAGTACATTCGTTATTTAGTTATGAATAAAAAGTATGATTAATTTTTTTTTTTTTTTTTTATAATTTAAGTATCATTTATATATGAATATAGCATATAATAAACATATTATATTCATATTTACATATTAGACGATACATTCACATATGAATATTACATAGTAATTCACTTGTGAATATTAGATGGTATATTCAGTTATAAATATTAGATAATATTTTCATATCTGAATATTACATAGTATTACATGGTATATCACATATGAATATTACATAGTATATTTATTTGTGAATATTAGATGATATATTCACTTATGAATATTACACAGTATATTCACATATGAATATTACAAGCTATTTTCACAAATATATATAAATTTTATATGTTATTCACATATGAATAACATACAGACTTGCATATTTGTTTTTTTGTTTTAATAATCATATAATGAGAAAACATATTCATATATGAATATAACGTGATAATTTAGTTTATGCATTTCATCAAACAGTTGGAGTGCGTACAATTTAACTTCTTTAAAAAATGTTAAAAACATGATATTTTGACTATTTAAATCTTACAAAAGAGTATATTGATAGAGAATTATATTAAATTTTTCAAAAAAAAAACAATTTGATCTTTTTGTAACATCAATTTTGAAGTTTTATTTGATAATCGATGTTGAATGAATGATATGAAGTGGATTTTTGTTGATTATCGATGATGTTGATCTAATAACGCTGGGAGTATAAATAATCATAGATGTTGAAGATCTGATCGTATTCAAACACAATTGAAGGTTGAATTAAAAGAACCAAAAACGAATTTTTGTTGTTAACTGTTGAATCGTGTTGATTATTGACGAAGATCGATGATTGATTAGCACTAGATGATGTTGATGATGGTTTAATTGAAGAAATTTGGATGATTGTTGAAAGTTGGAGAAGAAATTTGGATGATGAACGATGAATGAGTTTAAACTGTAATCTAATTCTCTACAGATACGTATTTGAGATTGAAGGTTGTTATCATATTTACAAGTTTGCCACCGTGTTTTTTTATGCTTAGATAAAATGAGTGGTTGAGAATGATTCCCCCATTCTTAACCTTTTTTATTTTCTCAATTGAACTCACCTCTCTCTCTCTCTCTCTGTATATATATATATATATATATATATATATATATATATATATATATATATATATATATATAACCCGTGAGAACCACGATTATAAAACTAATTAAATTTTCATATTAAAAAATTAAAATTATTAAACAGTTATTTTAAATAAATTATTACATAATGGATCTTTTTTTCGTTATATAAAATTATAATCGTTAATTTAAATAAATACATGAAGTTATATCGTCTTATAATATGTATTAATTTTATTTTATTTTTCAATGTAGTGTCATTAATTAAATATAATTAAAGTGAGAAAATTTAAAATCAAGAATCAGTTATTAATTTAATGTAATTAGAGTGAGAAATTTAAAATTTAAAATGGATAATCAATTATTAATTTAATGTAATTGAAGTGAAATTTAAAATTTAAATTTTAAAATGGATAATTAATAGGTTAACAAGTGGCATGATAGATGATATATAACATTAATAAGGAGTTCTAATTATATGACATTTGTCAATAGAAGATTAAACATATCCTTTTACTAGTTTATAACCCGTGGGAACCACGGTTATAAAATTAATCAAACTTTTATAGTAAAACTCAAAATTATTAATAAGTTATTTTAAATAAGTTATTAATTAAGAGATATTTTTTATTACTTATGTAAATTATAATCATTGATTCAAATAAATATATAAAATAAATTCTTAATATATATTAGATATTTTTTATTTGTGAATTAATGAAAACAATAATTTAAACTTCAAAATTTAAAATTTAAAATAGAATCACATTAATGAGGAGGTCCAATAAATTTAAAATGGAAAATTAATAGATTGACAAGTGGCAACATATTAATTAAAATGTTTAATATGGTGACACATGGCAAAAGAGCTACTCTTTTATTAGTATAGAGATTAGAATAGGTATATATATATATATATATATATATATATATATATATATATATAATAACTGATTTTGGTGATATGCATAATCTTGTTCCTCTATACCGGATCCTCAAAACTACTTATATACGCTTCCTTTTCACAAATTCTTTTCTTTGTTTCGGCTACCTCGTTTCCTTCATGTATTCTGTTGACTCGTTTTTGCAAACCAAATGATCTACACCTAGTGTTCAAGCTTCTTCAATTCAACCATAAATATACAAAATCAGTAAAATAACCAATAAAAATAGAAATTTTGTGTAAGAATACATAAAAACATTAAAGATTAAACCTCCAGGATGCGAGTTTCTTGTTCAGGCTTCTTCAATTCAACCAAAACAAGAGTTGATTAATAACAATTGTTAGACAAAATATATAATCCTAATCACATAGAAAAGATTTAACCAAGAAGCATGATACTTACAATAGTTATGTTCTTTCTATTAAAGAAAATATGATCAAGATTTGCAATCTAGGGACCTTCAGGTGTTATTTCACTGCAATATAGAGATGTCATTGAGCATAAATGTTAAACTTATAGAAGCAAACAAATTATATTATGAAACATATTATTAATCATATCATAAGTATAAACATAAAACTTGAGCTAAAAATAAAGAACCAAACAAATTTTTAAATTTGACACATAATTTCAAAAAATACATCTTGTGTATATGGCTTCTTGACCAAAAAAAATAGAGATATGATTCTAACATGTTGGTAGTTGGGTTACCAGTGTACATGCACTACAAAACATAACTAATTGAGTATATATATTATTAAAAACAGGAGTATACGGTACCAACGAATTCTTACATTGCGTTATATATGAAGCATGTTATAACCTTGTTAAAGCTAGCATTTTTTTCAGATTGAGGAATTTCATATTCACCACTAAGGCCTCCCTTATGTCATTTGACATTAAATATGCTTCAAGTTTCCTGATGTTATTTAACAAAAAAGTTGAAATATAAAGCTAATAGTAAAAATCACCAATACTTCATTCACATAAGTGCTAAGAATACATTTTATATTTAATGCTAAGAATACATTTTATATTTAAATTGATTGCATACGAAGAGGAAAATATGAAATAGGAGGTTAACTAACAACTATTGAAGACGAAAATGATTCAGGAAAGAGAGAGCATGGTGGCTTCCTGTCACCGAAAAAGTGTTGTTGAGAGCACAATAGGTGGCGGCGACGGCAATCAGATACAGATATAGTGAGTGGTGCGAGGTTGGAGAGTGGGTGGTGATTCACTACCGATGATGATGATGATGATGACGATGAGTTAGGCGGATAAGGTGCGATGTCGGCTTTTCAAAATATGGTTTTTGCTATTTGTTTGAGGGAAATGCGAGTGTAGAGGACAGAGGAGAAAAATAGTATGTTTACTTTTTTGATTTAATTTATGAAACGTCAATGTTAATGCCATTAATTTGTCAACCGAAAATGTGAATATTTAATGCAATTAATTTGTAGAACGGAAATGTGATAAGAGTATTAAAAGGTATGAATAAATTGATTGTATATTATGCAGTATGTGTAGTACCTCTTAAATTTCAAGAAATGGGCAATATTCTTAATAATATAGTATATATATATATATATATATATATATATATATATATGGTGAGGTTCAATAGAGAACTATAATTAACCAAGGAACTAATGAACCAATCTTATTTTCAACTTT